GTCAATATCCTTATTATGGTCAGCAAGGTCCCTGTGAGCTCTCTGTCCTCTCCCTGTTCACTCCATTCTGGCCACATAAACTTCTCTGCTGTTCCCTGAACTCAGATGCACTGCTCACAGGATTCATGCTGAAAATTTTTCCTCTTCTCCAGATGTTTATTATCAGACACCAAAGACTGTTCGAATCTCACTTTCTCAACAAGGCCTCTACGACCCTATCCTCTGGATTCTGCTCTCTGCTTTCTTGCTCATGTGCAAGTAAATTAGCAGAGGGGCTCTCATCCATCTACCAGGTACCCAGCCCCCTTTCATTTAAGGGCATCTGCCTCTACTAGTTTCTTTGAAGATCATTCCATGTGGCCAATGTCTAGTGGGAAGGTAAAGAGAGGATAAGACACACTTGCTTTAAACAGCCCTGACCCAGAAGTAACAGAGATCGCCTGCAAACAAATCCCACTGGTGAGAACTAGTCATATGGCCCTGTCAAGGTGCAAGGAGGACGGGCCAGATCATCCAGGTACAGGCCCGGAAGAAAAGCAAAATATAGATATAGGTAAGTACTTCTGACCACAAAATATCTGTTTCCTCACTTTTCTTACAAATAAAACACATTCAAACCTCTCCAAAAAGAAAATGTGAAGTCCCATTCAGTCAGTGCATCTAAAGACAAGTCCAGGACATCTGGGTCTAGCAAAGTCTTCTTCATCAGGATCATGTGTGGCTCCAAATGATGGACCCTATGAATGGATCAGGCAGATTATCCACACCCACCTTCCCCAGGCCCAAAACACAATGGAGGAGCACAAGCACAAGGTTCTTCCTTATCGAATATCTTCCCTGGCAAAGTGGGCTCTGGCATGCTCTCCCTAGAGGCCGCACAGCTTCACAGCCCATCTCTTTCCACAGTAAGTTCTGGATCCTTAGAAAATAGTCTTACAATTCAAATAGGGACTTGTTAAGTGCAGGCTCCTGGTTCCTTTGCCAATATATGATTCCCTTAAAAACTTAGCAGGCTTTTAATCTATTTGTTTCCAGTCAGTTTCATGTGCCAGTAACTGCACACAAAGTCCTTTCCTGGACATAATTCTTAAGCCTGATTTATGTCTTTGCATCCATTCCTCTTGCTTTGAACTGACAGAAGCCACCTGGAGGCCATATGAAACCATAGGTCAGCAGTTTCCAACTTTGGCTGCACGATAGAATCACTTGAGGGAACTTTTGAAATCCATCTTATCTAGATTTTATGTACCTTTGACCCATTAAATCAGAAGCTATGTAGGTAAGAATAAGGCAATTCTGATGAACAGCCAAGAACGAGAACTCATGCCCTGATCTGATCTTTGCCATAGGACTAAGTCATTTTTCTTTGACTGAGAAGGTTCACTAGGCCTTTGTTGCTCAAAGCCTTTCTCAACTCTTACCTATTGCTCTCTAGGGTCTACCAGCAATCTGTTTTTCCCATCACTGCTCCAACTGTCAGAACTTTCTCTATTCCCTTTCATTTTTTGCTTGAAAACTAGACAATTCTTTCTTAAGCTCATCTCTTTCTTATAATACCTAACAAAAGACAAGTCAACACAAACTCACACTTCATTCCTTTCCAACATTTACCCAGAGCTCAGGCGGTGTGAAGTTGGCCTTCTATGCTATCAAGGATGACAAATTTACCCAAATGGTCATCACTGCAAAACATAGGTTTCTTGTCCTTCCTACCTCTAATATTGGTGTCCTCATTAGGGCTACCTGACTGCTAAGCCAATGACACAAATCTCAAGGTTTTGCTTTAACAGAACTCTACTTCCAGAACCAGCTACTATGGCCAAAACTAAAACCTCAGTAGCTTAACACAAAGTTTCTCTCTTGCTCCTATCAAAGTCAAGCAGGTTAGCAGGATATTCTTTTCCACCCATCATTCAAGGACACAGTTCCTTTCATTTATGTTTTCATCTTCCTCTGGGTCCTAATGAAGTTCTCTCCTCTGAGCTGGCAGGGAGAACAGAAAAGGCCCTCAGCTGTTAATGGTCTTATTGTGGAGAGAAACATACTACTCTGTTCACATTCCACTGATCACTGCTATTTACATGGTTCTTCTTAGGTACACGGAAGCTGAGAAATGTAGTCCAGATGTGTGCCCAGCAAACTTGAGAAAAGAGCAATGTCAGTGAGCACTAATGGTCTCCTTCATACTCCTTAAAAGTCAAGCTCCACAGGGCAGAAATCTTGGTCTGGTTTTATTCACAGATGTATCTAATATGCCTGTAATAGTATCAGGCACACACAGTAGGAGTTCAAATAATATCTTTTGAATGAATACAGAATGAATCACTGTATGGCATTTTTTCTAAAATAAAGTCAGATGAATGGATTGATGAATAAAAGAATAATGAATTACATTGCATAGTTACTTAGACAAAGCATTAAACAAACTTTTGGAAAAATCAAAATAAACTTCCAAGCACCAATAGGCGTAAGCCTATCAAATCTACAATGCAAATTCATATACAAACTTATTAAATACATACTAAATGTATCCCTTGTGAACACAGAGAAATAATTATTCAAATACTAGTATAAACACAATGGACAAATATCAAAGAAATTACTATTAAAGTGATTACACATCTTTTTGTTAGTGGAAACTTCTTTACCCTCATGAGTCTCAAAATTCACTCAGATCCTCCTCAAAGAGCAAGGGTATTACATATACAGAGTTCTAATGCTGAAAATAAGTCACTCACACACACACACACACACACACACACACACACACACACACAAAGCTAAAAAACTACCAGGATGCATCAAACACACATAATGAACATACTCATCAAAATTCAGAAAAGATAGCAGCTTCAAATGATGCATGCCTACTGTACATGATTTTTCTTGAAATCTTAAGTCATTATAACAAAAATAAATAAAATAAAAAAAAACAACAAAGCTGAAATTAAAATAACAGCAAATGGGGATATGACTTACTACACAAAAGTGTTATGAGAATCAAGCAGAAATACAAGAAATCACCTGTGATTTCTGTACTATATGTATGCTTTAATGCAATGAAATAAATTCAACAAAGCATAGGACAAACTGCTTTGTAAACCATAAAAAGGTATTCAGTCACTTACCTTAAAAAAATGTAAAATTCCCATTCCTAAGAGGGTTATAAATTAGCTAAATGAGCAAGTTCAAACTAAGATGAACAAGCTCCTCATTCTCTCTCTTTTTTTGTAATTTTTTTTAATGTTTATTCATTTTGAGGGAGGGAAAGAGAGACAGAATGCGAGTTGCGGGGGTGCAGAGAGAGAGGGAGACACAGAATCTGAAGCGGGCTCCAGGCGCTGAGCTGTCAGCACAGAGCCTGCTGCAGGGCTCCAACTCATGAACTGCAAGATCATGACCTGAGCCAAAGTTGGATGTCTAATTGACTGAGCCACCCAGGTGCCCCAAGTTTCTCATTCTCTACCCCAACATGTAGATGAGAATTGTCAAAAGAAACATCCCAATGAATCCACTCATTACAAAAGGTAACAGAGCAAAAAGGTATCTCAGTGCTAAGAGTTAGACTCTAAACAAAAACCAGTGGGAAAAACATTAACAAATCATTTACCACCAAAGGACACTTATACTTTAAGAAAGGGAAAAGTAACAACTTGAAAATCTATAAAGTATCTCTAAATGAAAAGGGAGGAGACACTACGTTGTATTTTTTTCCTTGGTTTGTTTAAAAATTTTTAAATAATCCCTCCTCAACCTAAAACAATATTAGAATTTACAACACAATAAAACCCAGGATAGGAATGTTAAGTATAACTGAAAACCTAACTGATTTAAAAAAAAAAAAGGTCTCTAACATGTCAGAGATGTAGGAAGTAAAGTGTCACATGCATTGAAATTTTTTTTTTTAATAAATCCCTGATATGAACTGACTTGCTTTGTTCTTGGTTGAGTTTTAAGAAGGCTAACTAGCAAAAAGGGAGACAAAAGGAAAAAAACCCTGATTACTTGAAGCTTTCTAAACACTTAAAGTCCTGTAAGATGACCAAGGGTAAGAACCGAAATCCTGAATTATACTTATGACCCTCTATATTGTTTTACCCTTTAGCAAACCAACTAATCAACAAATGAAAACCAGAGGGAAAAGTTTTTAAAACAACTTTTTGGAAATAAAAGTATGGCATTTGTGGGGAGGGAGGGTCCCTGGGTGGCTCAGTCAGTTAAGTACCTGACTTCAGCTCAGGTCATGATCTCACAGTTCCTGAGTTCAAGCCCCACAGCAGGCTCTCTGCTGTCAGCACATGGCCTGCCCTGGATCCTCTGTCCCCTTCTTTCTCTGCTCCTCCCCCACTCATGTTCTCTTTCTTTCTCTCTGTCTCAAAAATAAACATTTAAAAAAATATGGCATTTTTAAAACTCTGAAAATAAATTGAGAGAAGGGAAGAAAAATGATTGATGCTAACCTTGTTACGTGATTTATAAATGCTATAGGAAAATCACACATTGCCTCCACCCAAATATTGTTATTTAAAAGACTACTTTTCAAATAAGGACAATGACGTGACAACCGTAAAATACAGTATTTCCCCAACTTCAGAGAGACAAAATCTTAACCCCTTTATTTCATGCAGCTTTCTTTGCAACATTTAAACCCTACACACATGAAGAAAATATGCTTTAAAAAGAGAACTTTCAACCTTACATAAAGCTCATAGAGTATGCTCTGGGGGAATTCCCCTGCACACTTTTAAAATCAGAAGACACTTTTCACTTACTTTTCCATTTCAACTGTAACAATATCTCCATGTCCTGGAACTTTAAAAATTCTGCTTTTAAAATGCAGTGATGAAGTACAACATACTTGCAACCCATCCTAAATGCTGGCACTAGGGTTTGATTACGCCACGTCCTTATTTGTTGGGCCTTGATCAGGAGACCGGCCTGGGGCTGTGACTGATGATAGGTTAACAGCTGGGGACACAGACTGAACACAAAGCAGTTACCCAAGAGGAATGCTCCTTCATCTGGTGCTGGTTGCTGTGAGGGCCGCTGGCGTGGCCACGCCAAAAGCAGTTTTGGCAGAGCTGGTAGTTGTGGCACTGCTGGCACCGGTACCGGAAACCCATCATACTCTCACAGCGGCAGTAGGAGCACTCAACGGGATGGAAGACTTGCGGGGAGCAGACAGCAGGGCAGGGGAGAAGGGGGGGCACAAGGGAGAGAAACGGTATTTTCATTTGGAGAGTAAAGTCAATACAATAGAAAACCAAATCTAATGTAAAAAGCAAAGACAAAAACAAAATTAAACCTGAAAATTCCAAATTGTCTCCTGGTTAACTGAACCAGCCATTTACTAGAATAAAGGGGGAAAGATAAGAAATGAGGAAAGTTTTTCAAGTTACAATATTACATTCCAGGGTGCCAGGGTAGCTTAGTCAGTTAAGCATCTGACTCTTGATAAAGGCTTAGTCTGTGATCTCGTGGTGATGACATTGAGCCCTCGGTCGGGCTCCACTCTGAGCATGGAGCCTGCTTGAGATGGTCTCTCTCCCTCTCTGGCCCTCCCCTGATCGTGTGCTGCACATGCTCTCTCTCTCTCTTTCAAAATAAATAAATAAACATTAAAGAATATTACATTTCAACCCACATTAGAAAATAACCAATTTCTTTAAAATGAGACTCAGGCTTCTCAAAATTCAGGTAAATATATAAGAAGAGAGAAGCCTTCAGTCCAAAATTTATTTTTCAATCCTGTTGCTTTTTTAAGAGAGGTATCATTGTCAGCTATACAGATATTTGTTTGCTTTGCTAACACCTGGAATGACCTGTTACCAGGTCACTGTTACCTGAAAATGGTATTTTACACAGTACCTTCAACTGAAGGCCTTGAAATGCTGGCTGAATTAAATGCTACCACTTACCTGGGCACAAGCGGTTACTGGTAACAAAGTACACCTAGACATATTACCATGTTAGTTTTAGGTAAGAGTTCTAAGTAGCAGAACAGTAAAACAAAGCACTCTAGACCAACGAAGGGGCAGTGATTTCGAGGAAGGGAAACTCAGGGACCTGTCACCCTCTTCTCCACTCACCAGCACCTCGCTTATGAAAAACTACCAGGTAGCAGCCAGGACTCACAGAGACTGCTGGGATCTCTTGCAGCCTGAATGTCCAGCTCGCTGAGTGGGAAGTGGGCAATGCATAACTGCATATTACAGACAGTTGTTTATTCTTTTAAGTGTTGGTAACATATTGTTCCCTCTGGTAATTCAATTCTGAACATAAGAAATGGAAGTCAATAGGAAAGGGGCATACAGTATTCAAATCTTCATTTGAATAACTTTCTAGCACAATGTATACAAATTCCAATCTTATCTCAAGAATAAGGATTTGGGGGGGGCATGGGGGTGGCTCAGTCAGTTAAGCATCTAACTTCAGCTCAGGTCATGATCTCACGGTTTGTGAGTTCAAGCCCCACATCAATTGAGCTAGAGCCCCACTTCGAGTGAGCCCCACTTCAGTTAAGTCCTGCACCTCTCTCCCTCTCCCTATGCCCCTTACTCACTGGTACCCTCTCTCCCTCAAGAATAACAGTAATAATAATAATAATAATAATAATAATAATAATAAGGATTTTTGGTCCTGTTTCCAAAAATGTACATCAAGACTCAAAAAAAAAAAAAAAGAGCACTTGGTGAGGAAAACAATGTAACAAGGTCATTAAAGACTATAAAAAGTAAAATCAGGAATGAAAACTCCAAAGGACATACTTCCTCTAAGAAATTCAAGCTTTTTGTCATCAAGATATTTCTAAGGAATAATGAAAGTGCTAATAAAATTTGTGCTCTAAATTAAACCTGTACAACCCAGTAAAGTTCCACCAGAGAACACTACTCTCAAATCCATCTGAAGCTAATGTCAACATAGTCAACTCAGCATACAAGCATTATAATTCTATATAATAATCTTCAGTTAATATTAAATAATATGTATATTAATATTAAATTATCAAGTATATTCTGATAATCTTGGCTGAACATGTATGTCTATGTGATTTTTCTTCTCTTCTATACCAGTCAAGAGCCAACACTTATATTAAATAGTGTAAGGGGTTGACCAGGTGGAAAGGAGAGAGCCAGAACGAGGAAAGGATCACCTAGTGTACTGGGTTAATTATAAATAAGATGAGGTTTTGGTAAATGTATTCTTTTTGGAAGAACACATCATGTTGTATCTTCTTATATATGATATGCTTAGATTAGCAAAACCATATAAAAAGTGCAACTTTTGCAAATAGATATCTGTCCTTATAAATAGTAACTTCAATTTGATTCCAGCGATGAATTTCATAGAAAGGGCCCAAACAACAACAAAAATACCATATAGAACTATATATAGAAATATCATAATTTTAGAATTTATTTCCCACCATAAAAATAAGATATATAGATAAATGTTATTGTGATAAATAACATGTTTTATTTCTAAGATATTTCAATGGGTTCACACTATTTCTGCTGCTGAGAAGAAAAACCTCTAACCTCATAAGAATGTAATCAACAAGTAATACATTGTATACAATGTCACAATAAAATGTTTACATTGTTAACAAAAATCAGAACAAAAGAGATTCTATTTGGTACAGCAAATACAAAATGATTTCATGAAAACAAACTAAATAGGAAAGTACTAAAACACTTCGGGTTAAAAGTATTGCCTCCAAAAGAACTAATAATACTATAATAATTTAACAGTATATATCTCTATCCAAAAATCTTGTTAAAAAAGTATTTAACTGTTTTAGTTTAGTCAAGAGATTCTAGACTTTTAAGAAAATAATCCTGAATCTAATGTACCTGTGAACTAAAGCCACAGTGAGGCAAAAGCCTGAGAGGTTTAAAAACAAAAGGTATGGATGGGGCAGAGAGAAGATAAAAAGAGTATGGAAGTGTATTTCATTCATACAAATGGAAAAAGGGCTCTGCTTTTTACCACCTCTCACTGGTTACGGGTTCTCTTTTGCAGAATAAGATATAAGCAAGAGCCTGGTGAGGAAGAAGGGAGATTAAAAACTTCAGCCTTTCCTTTAAGAAACTCAGAGAACTTAAACAAGGAAATAACAGCAGAAGAAAAAATTAAGAAGTTACTAAGAGATGACTATCATTTTAAGCAAAATAGATTTAACCAAATTCCTGGAAAGGATACCAAGAGTAATTAAAGGTAAAAAAAAAAAAAAAAAATTGTAAAGGAAGAAAGTGAAGATGTATGAAGTACCAAACCTTATCTTAGCTATTCTCCTTTAAACTATTCTAAAAACATTATAATTTTAGTGTATGATACTGCATACATTCAATTTTTTTAGAACTATGACTTTTATAAATTAAAGGAAAAAAAGGAAGACACAGGTAAATCAGGTCAGTTCAAGTAGAAAACCACCACCTGAAATCTCAGGGTGGGAAGCCTAGAGTGTGAATCACAAAGTTTTATGACCTGATATTACTATTTCTTGGTACCCTAAGTAATAATTCCCCTTCCCCTACTTTTCTTTAAGAAATAAATATCCCTCAGGTGCCTGGGTGGCTCAGTAGGATAAGTGTCTGCCTTCACCTGAGGGCATGATCTCATGGTTCACGGGTTCAAGCCCTGCATCGGACTCTGCTGACAGCTGGGAGCCTGGAGCATACTTCAGATTCTGTGTCTCCCTCTCTCTCTGACCCTCCCTGCTCATGCTTGCCCTCTCTCTCTCTCTCTCTCAAAAGTAAAATAAACATTAAAAAAATAAAAGATAAATAAATTTGAAACTTTAAAAAAAGAAAAGATAAATAAATTTGAAACTTTTGAAAGCTAAAATCACAAATTCAAATGACAGAGTGACAACAAATGTCAATTATAATTTTCAATGGTGATAGCTGAGGATCTTACAAATAGTATCAATTCATGGATTTCCTATAGCACAAGAAATTGAACGATAAAAGTTCTGCTTACCATTCTCAACATGGGCAAGCCTGTGCATGAGAGGTAGCCAGACAAGGCACTGGGGGGGAGGATCGGCCATCATTGTGTCTAAAAACATATTTAGCATTATCTTTTTCTGTGAAGAGAAGAAAAACAAACATACTTTATATTACTAATTGAATTCCAAAATTAGGTTGACCTAGAATTCTCCCAAGTTGTAATGAATTCCATGTGAAATTCTATAGCAAAATACAAGAATATTTTACATTACTAGAGACGCTGCAACACACTATATGTCACTGCAACATTCAAATGCATTTCCACATACAGTATTTTGAGTCTTAAAACAACTGTATCAGGTAAATAGGTTAGGTATTATTACTATCTTCATATTACAGAGGAGGAAAAAAAGGAGCATTTATAGGGCTTGTAAAGGTCCTACTCAAATCAGACACAAAGCCAGGACTAGAACTCGGCTGTTCTTCAACTTACTATTTCTGTTAACCAGTGAGGGAAACAGACATCCCACACAGTTTTATAAAACAACATCAGTGAGGGACGCTTGGGTGGCTCAGCTGGTTGAGTGTCCGACTCACTGCTCGTGGGATCAAGCCCCAAGTCAGGCTTTCCACTAACAGTGTGGAGCCTGCTTGGGATTCTCTCTCCCTGTCTTTCTGCTCCTCCCCCACACATCCTCTTTCTCTCACAATAAATAAATAAATAAATAAATAAATAAATAAATAAATAGGAAATCAGTGAGAGCAGAACTACTCTATTTATTGTTTACCATATCTCCAGCATTTCATAACAGTGATGTGTTATCACCAATTAAATACTAAAGTGAGGGGCAAACACTCTTAAACATCATTTAGCATGTTTCTTATACAGAAAGAAATAAAGAAAGAAAACTAAAGAGAATTATGAAGTAATTTGACCAAGTCATGAAGACAGTTACGCTAGGGAATAAATTAGAGCCCAAACATCCAATGTCTATCACTACCACCCCCATTACACCATCTCCCTAGCTAGACTGCATTTTTCTGTTCTATCTTTACTTCTCTCTTTAAAACAAATGCACACAAAGCTTGCACTGTATGTGAAACAGTGGTATAATTACATTCCACTGGATACAGAAAATCAGAAAACAGTTTAGAAAAAATAGAGTCATGAAATGTAGACAGAACAGATTAAAAATTTTCAAATTAATGAATTTTCCTTATTTCCTCTAACCCACAAATCACCTCTCCTGCTCCAAAAGGAAAGAAAAAAGGAGGAAAGAGGAGTGTCTTACAACTAGATGAGCGAGCTCTATAATCACACCCTGGACACGAGGCCCCCACTTTCAACTTTATGCCTGAAGAAGGGCAGACACAGGAGAGGAGGAGATGCAGGCCCAGTAAGTAGGGCTTTTCCAAGCCCTGGGCCACCGTTCAAAGGCTGGCGAGGGACTGAGGACTGGGAGCATGTGGACAAAAGGCCGCAAAAGGCAGAATTTCATCTCACTTTCCCAACTATGTTGTCAATCCCACCACCTTTTTTGAAGTGAAAAACAGAGTATACAACATGGAGTGTTTCCCCATAAAACTTTAAAATACTTTATTTCAGGAAGGAAAAAGGATAAAATTGGTTAGAGCTGACTCAAAGATTTTGCCAGTGTTTTATAGAATGAGTAAATAATTTTTACCACTGATCTGTTCATCACAAATTGGAAGCAAGAAGTGAAGGCAGTGTGGCGATCAGTCAGAAGGATGGCAGCCTCCAGCATTTGCGTTTGAGCCACCATGAAACCTTTCCACTAATGGTTCCATCATGCGAACAGGACACTAGACACTCACTTGTGTATCTTTTTGGCAACTATGAGAATCCTGATTTCACTGTATGTAAATTGGAGATAATTCTTATTGAGAATAAGCTTTTAAAAAAGAAACTGGTAAATAGGAAACAGAAAAGGGAGGATAAAATAGATGGCAGAGCAAGGAACGATTTTGCAATAAAAACTCAAAAATGGTAAAGAAATATGATGGAAAGTCTCAGATTCAGGACAGAGACTGGAGGGCAACACTGAATCCAGGGGTGGGCAAAAGGGCTGAATGAGGATGATAACAGTAAGAATCTATCACCCAAAGGCCCTTTATAGATACCTATACGTGGGTGAAGTTTGAGAAATATCTACTCAATTAGGCTAAATAAAGTTTTCTAAAGTGTTTTCCATCTCAGGCATCTAAGTCTCTAAAGTTTCTGAGACCTCAGTGGAATTTCAGAGGAATGAGTGAACAACGTTTAAAACAAAACCAGGGGCACCTGGGTAGCTCAGTCAGTTAAGTGTCCAACTTCGGCTCAGGTCATTATCTCATGGTTTGTGGGTTCGAGCCCCACATCAGGCTCTGTGCTGACAGTTAGCTCAGAGCCTGCTTCAGATTCTGTATCTTCCTCTCTCTCTGACCCTCCCCTGCTCACGCTGTCTCTCTCTCTCTCAAAAATAAAAAAAAAATAAAAAAAACATTAAAAAAAACAGAAAGTCACCAAATGTTTGAATGGAGGTCCAGATATAGAAAATGTCTCTTATAATGGACATGCACATAACTGTAACAAAGCAAAAAAAAAAAAAAAAAAAAAAAAAAAAAAAAAAAAAAAAAAAAAAAAAAGAAAGAAAGAAAGAAAGAAAGGTGTCCACACAACATTGCTGAGAAAGAAAATACTAGAAAGCTTTTATAGCTAGTAAGAGGTAGTAACCAAAAAATAAATATATGTTTTAATTAATATTTCTATATATTTTATATTTATTTTTATATCTAATATTAAAATTAATTTGTACAAGTCTACCCATAACCCAAATACTACTTTCTCTAAAAAGTTTTGACTCACCAATCATGGAGGCTTCTTTTTTAACCTTCAAGATGAAAAGGAACAATTATATGTGACATCTCAGGAGACCCTGACAAAAACGCTCAGGGTCGGTTTACAAATGTTGTTCTATGGTCACACTGTAATGTCAAGTCTCCAAAAAACATGAGGAATGAAACCAGAAGAACTGTGTCCCAGTACTCTGTCTTCGATAAACCATGTGATTTGGGGAAAAACGCTTAACATCCTTGTTTCAGTTTTCTCATCTATCAAAGGGTAGAGCAATAGTCTTAAAGTGTGTTCAGAAGCTGCCCTGTCAGTGCCTAAAACGTTGTCAAGGAGTCCCTGAGGCCGGAACTATTTTCATATAATTCTCAGACATTATTTGCCCTTTTCAATCCCATTCTCTTAGAGGTGTTCAGTGAGCATTCCAGAGGCAAGGCGGCACGTTCACAATCGTCTGAAAAAGCTACTGACCCGCTCCTCCCTTTCCCAATTTCTCCCTGTGCTAGGCCAGACTGCGTTCTATATTTTAACTGAAACAATGTATCACAACAGACTGCATGGATAAGCAGACAGGACAACCCAGCTATCTTCAACTGAGCCAAATACTACAATGATTTGCAAAAATGTAGAACCGAGGCATTCTTCTTGTTAAGTTTTTTTGTTCTGGAATATACAGCCATCTTTCATAAAACTATATTATTTAAGATGTAACAGGCTTCTCGTTATTTTTAAATGACAATATCTTTAATGTCTCAATTTTAATTTCTAGTATAGAAATATTAATAGAAACAAGACACATGAACAAAAGCTCTTTGGGGCCCTCAATAATTTTTATTGCAAAGAGGTCCTGAGACCAAAATGTTTGAGAACTGCTGAGACAGACGTCCCAGCTCAAAAATTCTGTGACCTAGTAATTAACTGTAAAAGACAGGTTAGCTCTTTTTCCTCCTGTTTTGCTTTTTATCCTTGAGTTGAACACATTCTTTGCATTTTTCCTTATTTTTATAGCATATGTGCTTCCCACAATTCTCATTTTTCTGTACTTCCCTCTAAATGTATATATGATTCTACGTAATTATGTACATAAAGTAGAAAAATATATAATTTTTTTCACCTAACTTTTTTTATTTTTTATTTTTATTTTTTTTAATGTTTTATCTATTTCTAGGAGAGAGAGAGACAGCATGAGCAGGGGAGGGTCAGAGAGAGAGGGAGTCACAGACTGAAACAGGCTCCAGGCTCCGAGCTGGCAGTCAGCACAGAGCCCGACGTGGGGCTCGAACCCACGAACCGCGAGATCATGACCTAAGCGAAAGTCGGACGCTCAACCGACTAAGCCACCCAGGCGCCCCAACTTTTTTTAATATACTAATTGTTTTGCTACAAGGTCTTCAACTCTAATCATTTTAACAGCTGCTTGATCCACTGAGCAGAGAGGCCATGATTTATCTCCACCTTCCTCTAGAAAACACTGAGGCTGCTTCTGTCCTTGTGTGTACTCGTATATATTTTTTCTTGGAAGTAAGCATTTCTTTTCGTCAGCTACCTTCCTGCCTTTTGTTATTCTAATCCTCAATACTAACAATTATTACCCTATAGCCATTCTCACCTCCTTCCCTCCACCTATGACTACATTTTCCCTGTTTTAAAAAGGGGTAGGGACCACCCCTTAAAAATAAGAAATCCAGTATCAGTAAAATAACATGAGAAAACAAGTAAACTAGTTTAGCATTGGATCATCACAGGTGCAATTTCCAGCCTCACCATTTCCATTAAAACCTTCTATTTCCTTATGGGCAACAGGTAAGTTGGGGTTTTTTTAAGACTTTATTTTTAATCTCTACACCCAACGTGGGGCTTGAACTTACAATCCCAAGATCAGAGTCACATACTCTACCAACTGAACCAGGCAGGTGCCTCAATAGGTAAATATTTCTTATTCATTCCCGACTTACTTGGTAATCAGTAAAACCATGAATGACGTACAGTTAACAAACCTGAAATATTTTAAAAAGTGTTTTTTAAGCCTTCTAGATTAAAATATTTTTATAAAAATGTTTGTGTAGAGTTAGAAGTATTCTGTCTGACCAGGACAAACATATATTAAATGGTTGTAGGACCAGTGCTATGGGTCGGCTTTTGATTATTGTTAGACACTGAATTTGTCCATATCACAAATTTATTTTGAATTTGGAAAATTAAAGTACTTTGTAATCACATAACAATATCATACTGATGTGCTCTTTTTTTTTAATGTTTATTTTTGTGAGACAGAGAAAGAGTGCA